CATTGTGCCTGTCAAGAAGGTCAATCCCAGAAACCCCCTGGAAGCAGAAAGCTGGAGAGGAACATTAGGGGATAGGCCTTTCAGGGCCTTGGAGACCACTGCAGAAGTGATGTGGGTTATCTTAAGAACCAAGGCAAGCCATGCAGGTGTTCATTTTTGAAGAAAAAGATGAGGCCCCTGTCTGAGAGAGTAGAGATGCCAGAATGAGAATAGTTGAGAATATTTGAGTATTCTTGGTAAACGATGTGATTATGAGAAAGAAAAGTGGGACCCATACTGGTGGTGTTAAGAGCCACCATTGGTTAAGCATTTATGCCCTGTTAAAGTATAAATTCCCAGAGTAGTCACTAATTAGTTTATTTGCTTTTTATTTTAATTCCCTTTTTGTCAGAAGAATGATGAAAACGGAAACTGTTCTGGGGAAGGGATTGAATTCCCTACAACAAACTTATACGAACTGGAAAGCCGTGTTTTAACCGATCATTGGTCCATCCCTTACAAGCGGGAAGAATCACTAGGCAAATGCCTCTTGGCTTCCACCTACCTGGCGAGACTTGGTAAGTCCTCAGACACAGAGGGAATTTTTTTCAGAGGAGGCCTGAGTTTCATCTTAGCTCTTATTATTGCCTGGCTGTGTGAGATGATTTATTTTCTTAGTCTTTGTTTATCCCCTGTGGAATAAAAGCTTTGAACTAAGTGAACTATTTTCTTCTAGCTACAAGAAAGTGTTAAAATTATTTAAAATACAATTGAAAGCTTTATGGAAATTGAAATTAACTTTCCACAGAAGCTTGGAGCACTTTAAGGCTTTACTCAGCAACTTTTTTATGTCAAAGAAAAGAAAGTAGTGTTTGCTTAACAAACTTTTTTTTTGAGACAAAGTCTTATTATGTTGCCCTCGGTAGAGTGCAATGATGTCACAGCTCACAGCAACCTCAAACTCTTGGGCTCAAGGGATTCTCTTGCCTCGGCCTCCCAAGAAGCTGAGACTACAGGCACCCACCTATTTTTTTGTTGTTGCAGTTGTCATTGTTGTTTCGCTGGCCCAGGTCAAGGTCAGGTTCGAACCCGCCACCCTCGGTGTATGTGGCTGGCCCTGTAACCACTGTGCTACAGGCGTGGAGCCTACTTAACAAACTTTTTGTGCTCATTAAGCAGCTGGCACTATCTTTAGTGCTTTACAAATATTAAGCTAATAGAGTGATAAAATATCACTAGGTTGGAAGAATGGGTATGAATATTAGGAAACACCTATACTATAAATCTATAAAAGAGAAAATTCATTTTTCTTACTGAACTCAGGTATGAAATAAAATGAATAAGGCCACTGCTTGTGGAGTTTTTTTCCTTACGAAGAGTACACATGGTTTACTACCATGATTAAATATGAGACACATCAGAAGGAAATGTTTGGATGAGGATTAGACTTAATCCTGATAGGCTCTTGTGATCCATTTCTGACTGGCTTCTCAATAGCAGCATTGATCGAACACCTGTAAGGAAGGATCTGTGTCCTCTGCTAGACAATAGATCTGAAAACAAGAAAACGGGTGCCGCAGTGTTCCCAGTGGTGGCAGAATCCATTATTGAGTTTAAGAAGGAAATGCATTTCTCTCAAGGGTGATTTTATAGTAGATTCGTTCATTCATTCACTTAGCAAGTTTTTTTGGTTTTTTGTTTGTTTTCTGAGACAGAGTCGCACTTTGTTGCCCCAATGGAGTCCTATGGTGTCATAGCTCGCAGCAACCTCAAACTCCTGGGCAGAAGCAATTCTTCTTCCTCACCTTCCAAGTGGCTAGGACTATAAGCGCCTACCACAACACCGGGCTAGTTTTAGAGATAGGGTCTCACTCTTGCTCAGGCTGGTCTTGAACTCCTGAGCCTCGGTTTCCCAGAGAGCTAGGATCATAGGCATGAGCCACTTCGCCTGAACTTAGCAAGTATTTATCACAGACTGTGTGAAGTGTGCCAGACACAGTTCTGTGTATTTTATTACACAGAATTCATCAGTTTATTTTAGGGGAGAAGAGTGATACTGGCATTTATTGAAATATTTGTGTTTTTGTAGAGTTGTTTAGGAAACCAGTAATGACTACTAAGAAGCTGCTATTGGTATTTTATTAGCTATTTAATCAGATCGTTGAAGTTACTCTAACATGCGAATATAAGTTCAGCCATTTAGTATTTATTTAGTCTAATACTATGATTCTCAGCCTGTTCCTTCATCAAAAGGTATATATTTTACTTTTAATAATCCCTAAGAATTGAGGTTTTTATAAGAGATAGTTCCACATATATGAATTTAAGATGGTACACATGATTTCTACAAACTGCCTAAGATCTAAATAAAATATATTCTTTATTTTACTAAGGTCTTTCTGAGTCTGACGAGAATTGTAAAAGGTTTATGGATAGGTGTATGCCTGAAGCATTTAAAAAGGTAAGAAATATGTGCTTATTTGATTTTGGGGGGAGGGGGCTGTGAAATCGACAAGCTTTTTGTTTTAGTTTTTTATGTGTTAGATCAGTTTATGAATCTCATTCAGCTGAGGAATCCTCTAACACGAGAAAAAGTGGCTCTGAATTTGGAGCTTCTGAATGATTTACCCTTTGTTTGCATGCGTCTTTGGTCAAATATAACTTTCACCTCTTACTACTGAACTACTAAATAGGTTAAGGCTTAATTATACTGGGAAATTATACATGCTAGTAAAGTAAAAATTGTGGCACTGAGAAAGGTAGTATAGTATTTATTTATAAAAATACGAGCAACTTTATACTTAGCATTCTCCTGAGACAGAAGCAGGCATTTTAAATGACGGAAAGCCTGACTGCATGAGGTATTTCTTTCTGGCAAAACGGCATGCACATGGCAGCGTCTCTATCAGAGCCTGAGTTGATATGCTCCCATTCTGGCCATATCTCTTAGGAAGCAATTTTTCTTAACAATGGGAATAAGAGATCACGGAAATTGTGCTTCTGAAAGCGGACTGACTCAGCAGGGTTCCCTTTTCAGCACTTGAGTCTTGAATCCTCCTAAGACAGGGACTGTGTTTGTCACAGACATGCATCCCATGTCCTCCCCAGCATGGAACCAAGTGCCTCGCTCATAGAAAAAGCACAGTAAATATTGAATGAGTAAGTGAGTCTCCTGCTGTCTTAACTTCTGGATTTTGACACCCCTTTTTGTCCTAATATGCAAGTAAGTCATTAGAACTACAAATGGGCAAAAGACTATATTTATCTTAAAACCCAGTGAAACAAACCTGTTTATTTGCAGACAGTTCTTCCCCACTGCACTCTCCCTTGACTCAAGGCTTAAAAACTACTAAAATTAATTTTAGAAACAAAAGTAGCTTCATCTTTGAAAAAGGAAAGAGATCTTTTAAAATAGTCCTTTGGGCAGAGATGATATGAAATCAAGATTTATCTTCATTTTAGATTAATCCATCTACCAATTCTTTAAAGAATTATAGTAGCTTTTTAAAAATAGCAGATTTTTTATAATGTAACATACTATGACATATAATATTTGCCCACATTTACAGAGAAGGAAAATACAAGTTTATTCAGAGTCATGGAAAAGGATTTATTAGTCTAAGGAAAGGACCTTCAGGTTAAGGATCTCCAGACCCAGAAAGCCAGTATCAAGTAAGTTCCCCAGCAAGTTGGGTAGTTGGAGTATAATACTCTAACTCTGTGCAGAGATGCTTCAGAGAACTGTTTTGGTAACAGTGTAACAATTGGCCACATGGTCGGTAGATTGTTTTTCCATAAAACTACAAGTTCAAAGGTACCCTGTGTTATTCATTTTTTTAATGTAAAAATGTTAACTTCTCTTACAGTTAGAGCTATTAAAAGATTCTCTTCCCCATCAGTTAGGCTTACTTTCTTTCATTAAATCAGAAGAGCCACAGAATTCAGTGCCTGCCTGCAGGCTTGGCTGCCTGAACACTCAGTAGGATTTGACATACTTGGTGCTCCTTTCCTCAGTGTGTTTCTTGGGTCAGGGCCGGCCCTGTCCCTTCCCCAGTTTGCTTTTCTCACAAACTGTCTTCTAACATTTTGTAGCAGTAACGGTATAAATAACCAGCGATTGCACGAATGAGGTGCACAGAAGGAGCTTTGTCCTCATTGCTGTGTTCCTCGCCTTTCACCTTCAGCCTTGCATTCTTCATTAGTGTATTCGCACAGGGAAGGTGATTTAGGTTTGTCATAGGTCACAGTTCTGTTTAGATCATGTGTGCATCTTCTCCTCAAGGGGAAGCCTATTTTTCCCTATCTCAGAATTCTACAAGGTAAACGGAATTACATTTTCAAAGTGAAAAATGAACAAATGAGAATGGTACCAGAGAGAGTGGTGCATAATCCACATATATTTTTATTTAGGAACCACATGAAGCTTCTTAAATGTTAATCTTTGCTTTGTTTTGCTTTGTTATCTAATTTTTATGTATAAGAGGAATATATAGTCAGGCAAAATATTGTTGCAGAAAATGGTAACAAACTGTTTTCTATAAAATCAATCTTAGGATTTTTGCTTATTTGAGCAAATAGTTCTGCTAATTGCTACTTAGGAAATCTGGAACTGAGGCTTTTCTCTGCAGGCCCTGCAGTCTGGGCTCTTTCAGGCTATTCTTTTTAAGGGGTTCTCAGTGTGGTTGAGGAAATTTTTATTGCACAGTATTTTCCTTTTGAGGAGAAATCTTACAAAAACATGAAACCACTGTGCACTTTTAAGTGAAATTTTTGATTTCTCATTGCCTGTCCTGGCAGTTCCTGAGACTTCCTCAAGGGCTGTAAGACTGAGGATTGGAGGAATCCCGTTTCTCCACTTCTTTGATGAATCTCAGAAGCTATCTAATTTGAAGATGAACCACTACTTTATATTTGGTGTTTATATTTAAGAAAGACAGCTGCTGCGTAAACAGTGTTATGATATCTTTTCACTTAGACCTGTTTTAGATTTGCTTAATCATTTAATAAATTAGGTACATACTAAAAAGGAAAGTAGAAGCAAAATAAACTGGTAAGATGTTCTTAAAATTTTTTCACATTCAGAGTTCTGCTGTCATCTGATCAACAGATGGAAAGATATCATTCTATTTCTGAGATGTTAAAAAGTGTGAGAATATGTATATTAGAATTCATGAAATATAGTATCCATTTCTCAGGTTCCTGAAATATTAGTTACTAAGGACAGGCAACCATCAAGATATACTTAGAATGCCTTACCATTTATAAAATGCTTTCCCAATTGTTGTATCTTTTGATCCTCATAACGTCTGTGTGAAGTGGGGAGGAATTATACCTCTGTAGAGGTGAGACAGCTGAGCCTCTGAGAACTCAGGTGAATTTGGCCAAGGTCACACAGCTAGAAAACAGCAGTACCTGGACCTGATCTTAGGCTTTTATGCTCTACACCACTTGACCTCCCCTAGTAATATGGAAAGTAGAGACACAAATACTAATTTTCTTTCAAACAAGCTACTTTAGTGCAAGAACATTAAAATTTAAAAGCAAAACTCTTTGTCAGCTTTGAAATAAATGGACAAGTAGGTGGACTGTAGCTATGGGTCTTTTAAAAGCAAGTCATCTGCCAAAAAAAAAAAGTATTTTGGTCATAATCTCTTGATTATTTGAGATTAACTTATTATTAGATTAATAATAATAGATAGTAGATTAATAGTAGATTAATTATTTGAGATTAACTTATTAGATTGGTAATAGATTGTAGATTAATAGTAGATTCATTATTAATTAATAATAGTAGGTTAATTTTCTTTTTTCAAGTTAGACTGTAGAGTGCCCTTTATGTTTTTGTAGCTCCTGACATCAAGCGCTGTTCACAAGTGGGGTACTGAAATTCATGAAGGAATCTACAACATGTTGATGCTATTAATAGAACTGGTCGCAGAGAGAATAAAACAAGATCCGATCCCCATTGGTCTTCTGGGCGTGCTTACAATGGTATAAGTATCTCTGAAATGAAGTGCTCTTTGTGTCTTGACTTTGTTTAAAATAAATACTTGTTATTCCCTGACTTGCAGTTAATAATGAGTGATAATGATTTTATCATTAAAGATACTAACTTAGCTATTAGCGTCCTTGGTTTTTTATTTTCAAAAAGCAGAGCAACTATCTTCTGTTTTAGTTTGAAAGAAGTGTCTTTTTAATGTTAAAGTATTTTTCAGCTTGTAAAATGATTAAATGCCTTTTTCTTACCTCTCCCCAAGTTTCTGTGTCTTAAATACTTTAACATGGGGCGTATTCATGTAGTTACAGTTCTGGTCCCTCCTCTGACGGGACAGTAGCCGCCTGGAGGAGGGAGGCTCCCGTTTTCTGCTCCTCCCTCTGTCTCCTCTGTCTCGGTGGCCCAGCTCTACCTGTGGCAGCCCGGGCACATCTGCGGCATTGCTGTCACTTAGCCTTGATTCCAGCTTGTGGTTCTGCTTCCTCCTCCTCTGCCCTCAGCCACCACTGCACAGGACAGGCCAGCACCATACTAGCCTTTGGGCCTCTGCACCACCTGAGGCGTAGGCTGGCTCTGTCGGCATTCTCGAAAGATTCCACTTAATGGAGAAGTCCAAGGCTATATTTTTATCTTCTTTTCTAATGCTAATATGTGTTGCTATAGAAATAGGTAATAATGTTTCTCTGTTCTCTTTGAATCTAGGCTTTCAATCCTGATAATGAATACCATTTTAAAAACAGAATGAAAGTGTCTCAGAGGAATTGGGCAGAAGTGTTTGGAGAGGGAAATATGTTTGCTATTTCACCTGTATCTACTTTCCAAAAGGTAAATATAGTATAACTTTGTTTCATCTTTTTATAGAGAAATATATTTAAAAAGAATATTTTTCTGTGCTATAAAAATGACAATTTACTTGGAAGGAGTAAAACAATGTGTGAAAAATGATAAATGTCCCATATGGCTCATAAAATTGCCTAAAGATTTTTTTCAGATAATGCAGTTTTTTCCCAATGCTCTTAACTAATATCATGAAGAATGTTATTGATTTGAAATGATACCTAGTGAAATGAGAAATGACTTCAGTGCCCTATAGATCGGATTATCAGAACTACAGTTTGATTGGTGTCCCTTTTTTTTTGTTTTAAAGACAGAGTCTCACTATATCGCCCTGGGTAGAGTGCTGTGGCATCACAGCTCACAGCAACCTCCAACTCTTGGGCTTAAGCAATTGTCTTGCCTCAGCCTCTCAAGTAGCTGGGACCGTAGGCGCCCGCCACAACACCTGGCTACTTTTTGGTTGTAGTTATCATTGTTGTTTGGCAGGCCCGGGCTGGGTTCAAAACCGCCAGCTCTCATGTATATGGCTGGCACCCTTAGCCGCTGAGCTACAGGGGCCAAGCCTGGTGTCCCATTTTTTTAGAGATATTTGAGAGACTAGAGCAGTAGTTCTCAACCTTCCTAATACCGTGGCCCTTTAATACAGTTCCTGTGGGTCACGAACCATAGGTTGAGAACTGCTGGACTAGAGCATTTGAAATGATTTAAAATGACTAATTGTGGCTCAGCACCCATATTTTGGTGGTTACGGCACCAGTAACATACGCTGAGGCTGGCGGGTTTGAACCTAGCCTGGGCCAGCTAAACAACAATGACAAGTAGGTGGTGCCTGTGGCTCAAGGAGAGTAGGGCACCGGCCCCATATGCCAGGGGTGGCAGGTTCAAGCCTAGGCCAAGCCAAAACTGCCAAAAAAAAAAAAATAATTACAATGACAACTGCAACAAAAAAATAGCTGAGCGTTGTGGCGGGCACCTGTGGTCACAGCTACTTGGGAGGCTGAGACCAGAGAATTACTTAAGCCCAAGAGTTTGAGGTTGCTGTGAGCTGTGACGCCACGGCACTTTATGACTAATTGTGCTGGCCAAGCGTGGTGGCTCATGCCTGTAATCCTAGCACTCTGGGAGACCTCATCAGGTAGATTGCTTGAGCTCACGAGTTCAAGATCAGCCTGAGCCAGAGCAAGACCTCCATCTCTAAAAATAGCAGGGCGTTGTAGCAGGCACCTGTAGTCCCAGCTACTTGGGAGGCTGAGACCAGAGAATCACTTGAGCCCAAGAGTTTGAGGTTGATGTGAGCTGTGATGCTACGGTGCTCTACCCAGGGCAGCAAAGTGAGACTCTGTCTCAAAAAATAAATAAATAAAATAAAAATGTACATGTATTTTGCTTTGAAAAAAAAATGACTAATTGTATCTAGAAAAATAATCTAGTAATTAGTCTCATGTATATAATTTTCTTTTGGACACTGTAAGCATTAAATTTTTTGCCTTTTGTGACCTAGACCCAATATCTTTATTTTATATTCCAACTTCCACAGTGTGTTAAAATCATTTTGCCCACAAGGAGTACAATTTAAACAATCCTTTAGTTCAAAGACTGGCTTTTGAGAAACTCTTGAAAGAAATCAAGTTTAGTAGAAACTTGTTCATTATTTCTGAAGAAGCAGAGATTTAGGTCAGCAGTCATTTATTGAACATTTACTCCGCATCTGGCATTATTCTAGGTTTTGGAGATATACACGAACTGTCCTTATCTTTAATACAAAGAGTAATAAGATGTGATTCCTACCTTATAGTATAGTAGCGGAAATATATAAACCAATATATAACCAATTTACAGCACGATAAACAGAAGGTGCAGTTGTAATATGTACTCTGCATAGAATCCAGAGGGGGAGGGATAGTGCCACCGTGATGGGTCAGCCAACATTCCAGCAAGGAAGTAAGAGTGGAATGGAAATGCCAGTCAACATGGACTTTGGAATTTGATCCCCACAACAGCTCTTCTACTTGGGCACTATTTTTACTCCCATTTCATAGATGAGAAACTGAGACAGATGGAGGTTAAGTACCTGCCAAGTCCACGTCCCTGGTTACAGGAAGAAGCCATGTGGTCCAGCTGTGAAGTCTGCATCCTTTAACCATATGCAGTACTACTTTCCCAAATTAAATTGTTCCTTTCGGTTTGATGAGAGGATTAAATGACAAATGTACATGAAAACACCAAACGTGTCTGTATGGCGGCTCCCTGTAGTAAACACTCAGCAGATGGTCATCTTCTCCCTTCAGTTTATATTTGAAGCACTGAGCCCCAGAAGGGCTGATCTTTGCATTTGCTCTCATCATACAGAGGGATTCCCGGACCCCCTTTCCTCTGGCCTTCTTGAGCGTATTATTCCTTAGGTTGTACGTTCTTTCTTTGGCGTCTCTTAGTCTTTATACTGGATCATTACCCTTGTATACAACGTGCTCTGGTATTTCACATCTTTAAATGTTCTTCCTTTAATATCACACCCTTCTCCAGCTTCAGAAATTATCCTCTGGTCCCCTTGACAACCATAGCTTTTGAAAGATTCTGTGTCTTTCCTCCCAGTTATTCCTCTGTTGGTTACTCTAATATTTTATTAACTAAACAAAGCCTAAGTGTCATCTGTATCTGTCCTCCCTCCCCTCCTCATGGGTGTGCGTCTCTGGGCTTTATGGTGCGTCGTCTTAGTCTCCTCCTGCGTCTTACTCCTTCACGAAATAGGCTGTGCGTTGTATAAACTGCACTTTACGAAGGGCTCGTTGGTGGATAAGTGTTTGTCTTTGATGGCCTGAACTTAATTTCATTTCCCATTCCTTGAAGAATGCATATTTTCACTGGGTTTGAAATTCTAGATTGATAACTATTTTCCATCAAAACATTACAGGTGTCGTTTCACTGTCTCCTGGTTTGGGGGATTGCTGGTGAGAACTGGCCGCTGGTCTGACTGCTGCTCCTCCATTGGATGTCTGTCTTTCCTCCGTTGCTGTATTTTGAGATCTCTTTTTTCTTTTCTTTTTTTTTTTTTGTGATACTTGTCAGTTTGACTCTCATGTGATTTACCAAGGTATTCTTTTTAGTTACTTATTTTTTATTTTGTTTTTTTATTTTGAGACAGAGTCTGACTTTCTGCTCTGGGTAGAGTGCCGTGGTGTCATAGCTCACAGCAGCCTTAGGCGAGTCTCTTGCCTCAGCCTCCCAAGAAGCTGAGACTACAGGTGCCCTCCACAACGCAGAGACGAGGTCTCACCTTTGCTTAGTTCTTAAAATCCTGAGCTCAAGCAATCCACCTGGCTCAGCTTCCCAGAGTGCTGGGATTAGAGGCGTGAGCCACCACACCGGCCCTTTTTATTTATTTTGCTTCAGATTCTTTGGGCTTCTTCTGAATGTGAGAATTAATGTCATGCATCAGTTCTGGAAATTTCTCAATCATTGTCTTTCTGAATATTGTCTCTTCCCCTTAATGTCTTTTTCTGGAACTTTGAGTATATGTGGACTGTCTCGTTCTGTCCTCTGTGTCCCTTAATCCCTTTCATTATTTTTCATATTTTCCATCCTGTCTCTTTGTGCTGTGCTGTGATAACTTTTTCCAGATCTAACGTGTGGTTCACTAACATTTTTCTATTTGCATCTAATCTGCTGTTTAACTTACTCATTTGAGTCTTTAATTTTGTCACTGAATTTTTCATTTATATAAATTGTTTGCTTGTCTTTTAACTCTGTTTTGTCGTTTATTTATTTATTTTTCTGGCTGGAGCCGGGTTTGAACCCACCACCTCCAGTATACGGCGCTGGTGCCCTACTCCTTCAGCAACAGCCCTCTCTGTTTAGTCATTTTGTAATTGTTTCATGTTCTGTTTTCTCTCCCCAGTTTGTTTAATGGTAATTTATATTCTGTGCCTGACGTCTACATCTGATTCTGCTGGCTTTTACTCACTCATTTTGTGTATATATGTATGTGTGTAGAAACATATTTATACTTATTTGTTATTCCTAGATTTAATCTAGGGAAATTTTTTGCAATTTGTAAGTTTTTTCTTTTACAAAGATTTACTTTTATTTCTTCCAGGTGCCTGGAAGCACTAAAATCTGGAACTAGTGTAGGATAAATTCTTAGCTTAAAGCTTTTCAGACCATTAAGTCATTGTAAATTTGAGCAGTAAAGCCATATGAAGGCAATTCTGTGGTTACAGACTCTTGGAGAATGTCTTTCTCCCTTCCATCCAGCACCAAAATCAGTATAGGAAGCCTTCCTTATTTTCCCTTTCTGCAGATAAATTTATTTCAGCTCTCCTTACGCTGAGGATGTAGCCTCAGTCAACTCTTTTTGAGTTTCCCTGTCCCGCCTTGGGTTTATTTCCTTTTTCTCCTCCAATGGAAGTGTGAGGTCACCAGGGTTCCTCAGGGGCCAGTGGAGTGAAAGCTGGCTTCAGAATCTGTCGGCCTCACAGAATTCCTGCTTTCTTTCTGTTTTAAACTTCTCAGTGCTTTGTCACCAACTTAGCTATAGGTTGTAAAATATTTTTAATGTTTGTACCCAGTAATTTTAGTTACTTTCATCTGGAGAGCTGTTGAGGGTACCTAGACTGAAGTCCCATTAGCTCTCCAGAGTATCTCGTTCTGCCTTCTCTCTCCCCCGTTCCACTCTCCTTAGGACCCGGGTACCCTCACATTTCCAGACTGGAAGGAAATGTCTCTTGACCCCAGCGCCGGCCCTGGTCACAGTGGCTCCCTCTGTGGAACTGTCTCCTCCCTGGCTCTCGGGAGATGACTCCGGACCTTGCATTTCTGCCGTGGTTCCTCTGTTGGTGGCTTCACCTCTACCCAGTTTTGACCCAGGGTTCCGTCTCTTGATTCACTACACTTACTCTGAGAAATGTCTTCCATTCTCATGGTTTTAAATGCCGTCCATCTTGATACTAATGGTCCTCCAACTCGAGACTCTGCGGCACAGACCTCTTCGTTTGACCACACCAAAGGAGTCCCCTGTCTGCTCTTGGTTGCTACACGGAATTCCCCAACTTAGTGTGTCTAAATGGAGCTTCATTTTGCCTCCGTTGTCTTCATTCTTCTCATTTCTCATCCCTTAGTTCTTAAAACATCTCAGAGAGGTCTTTCATGCCCACTGCCCTGAGGAGAGAAGGCTCGTTCTGTTTTTCTTTTGAGGGTCTTGTGATTTTCCTTCTGTGGGACTTAACACACTTTGAGTTGTGTTACATATGTGCTGACTGACTTGGGCTCTGTTGACCCTGCTAAAGTAGGAGCTCTGTGAAAGCAGGTCCCTCATCTCCTATGTCCAACCTCTGCAGGAATGTCCAGCCTCTAGAACAGTGAGTGCTCAGAAAAGGAGAGCAAGGGAGGGAAGAGAAAGAGCTTAGTTACGGGCATTCATTAATGATAAAGCTGAGACTAAAATTTTAATCTCTTGATTCTTGATTTACTGCTTTTTAGGTTAATAATTAATTTTTAATTTCTAAAGTAGAACTTAGAAAGTTTAACTCACTTTATCCTGTACCTTGGAGAGCTTAAACTACTGATCTTAGCTATCCCCAAATGCGTAAATGTTCTACATTTTGGCAATGCCATCAGAATACAGACTTACAGACTCCCCAAATAGTATAAAAACAGTAATATCAGAGATTCGCATTAGGAAACATTTGTAAAACAACCTTTTAAAGTAGCTTTTACGTTCTGACATTATTTTTTTCTCTAGCTTTTCGTTTCAAGTCTAAGAAATGGAAGGGTTAGCAGGGAAGTCTCCTGTTGCCATCTCAATTTTGTTTCTGTTTTTTTCTCGCAGGAACCTCATGGATGGGTTGTGGATTTGGTGAATAAGGTACACAACTTTGAGTGATGTTGTCATGTCAGGTGTCGTGTATTCTCCATTTTCTAAGGAGATTTCCCAGAGTTTGGTATTTTCAGCGAGTGGCAGCTGTAGACAGTGATCACCTTGTTTTAAGCAGACAGGTTCCATGGCTGCTTCCCTTTAGTGTATGTTCAGTGCAGACAGATGCACGTCAGTGTTTGCACTGAGCACATCTCCTGCCGGATACCATGAGCGCTAGCGGGGTCTCTGTGCATTCTCCTGAGACCAGTATTACAGAGCACAGTGGGAGAGGACGATGTTAGCCTCCATTCCTTGCTTAAATTTTTAAAATTAATTTGTGCCCTTTTTTTTCTCAGTTTGGAGAATTAGGTGGATTTGCAGCAATCCAAGCCAAGCTCCATTCAGAAGACATAGAACTTGGGGTAAGTTCAGCCACTGTCTGTTCCCGTGTGGAGCATCACATTGTTGGGGTTGGCATATGACCAGGGGATGCAGTTTGGACACATGAAGTTAAATGTGTGAAGTTAAATGAAAAATTAATCTTTAGAGGAGCAGATTTCATGGTTCTGATAACCAGAGAAATATTTATTCTCCTAATCCTAACCGAATTTCCATGTAGAATGCTTGTGTGGTTTTGCTTGTTTGTTTTTAAGGGATGGAATCTTGTTCTGTTGCTCAGGCTGGAGTGCAGTGGCACAATCTTAGCTCACTGTAACTTCCAACTCCCAGGGTCAAGTGATCCTCCTGTATTAGCTTCCCGAGTACCTGAGACAACAGATGAGCACCACCAGGACTGGCTGACTTTTAAATTTTTTGTATAGGCAGGGTCTCACCATGTTGCCCACGCTAGTTTTAAGCTCATGGCCTCAAAGGATTCTCCCAACTAGGCCTCTCAAAGTGCCAGGGTTATACATGTGAGCCATTGTGCCCGGCTGGTGTTATTTTACCTCACTATTTTACCTTTACCCTTGGTATATTTCTACTAATTTGTGATGGTTAAATGAAATTGTCTTACTACTTAAAGACAGTTGCTATATGTGGCAAGTATATATGTTCATAACAATTTTTATGATTCAGTTAAATGATTATATAAATTAGAATTTAATATATAGTGTCAGGCACAAATAAAAATATTTTAGCAAGGTTGTTTAGTAGACTTTTTGGTATTGGAGAAACTTGTAAGTACAGAGGGCTATAACTTGGGAACCTAGAGTCATCTTGCTACTCCAGTTTCTGTATCAACTTTTTATTTTCATGTCAACTTAATTTTCTCAAAACATTTTACCTGTGGAGAGGAGAACACCTAATCTTCACTTTTTCACACCCTGCTGATCTGTTTGTAGCTGGGAGTACTTTGTTTTTTTCTCTAGTTAAGAAGTTGAAAACTATTATGTTCTTTTTTTTTTTTTCTTTTTTTTTTGAGACAGAGCCTCAAGCTGTCCCCCTGGGTAGAGTGCTGTGGCATTGCAGCTCACAGCAACCTCCAACTCCTGGGCTCAAGTGAGTCTCCTGCCTCCGCCTCCCAAGTAGCTGGGACCACAGACGCCCGCCACAATGCCTGGCTATTTTTTGGTTGCAGCCATCATTGTTGCTTGGCGGGCCTGGGCTGGATTCGAACCTGCCACCTTAGGTGTATGTGGCTGGCGCCTTAGCCACTTGAGCCACAGGCGCCGAGCCAACTGTTATGTTCTTAAAGTACAGTTGTATTGTTTAGGGTGTACTGAGGAGATGATAAAGCCCATCAGAGAGAGCCAAAGGCTGAGACTCTTAGCACAGTATGAAACACTATGTTAACTACTGGACTCTGATCTCTGCAGAATGTCATGTGATAAAATAATACACCTAAGCGCTGCAAATTGTGCCTAAGGTAGTGGTTCTTTCTGTGGGACCATGACTTACCGACTCCCTTGGTCCCCCTGGATGAAGGAAATAGCGGTGGCCCAGGAGAGAGACTGATGGTGTGGTGAAAGCCCGACCCTTTCTTGCCACCAGCGTTTATCCTGAAGATCAGATGTCTGCAGATAGATTGTGACACTGATCCAGAAGCCTCTTCTATCTCCCTGGAAGTTAGTTAGGTTGTTGGCCTGTGCTTTAGATCCCCATTGAATAAATTGAGTATGTTGGAAATGACTTTATTGACATGAAATATGATACGTAGCAATTTTAAAAGCAAAACAAAAGAAAATAGTCCTCTCTAAAGTTTTATTCAGCTTACTTGTTTCTCAAGAACCAGTTGGTGGGCGGTATCTGAAATAAACTTTATTTTTAAAAAAATGTTAAAACACTAATTTCCTACAGAGTCACATCATTAAAAAAACAGAAACAGAACAAAACAACAAATTAGACCAGCCTGAAATTTGTACTCTACTTGGATGAAAATTGGCCTAGGATAGATAGACTCTGAGGACTCTGGGCTCACCCTCTCTATTACCAACTGTCCTGAGGTTAAAGATTCTTTAAAGATTTTCCCCTTAGGTCAGACCATTTTTCAGAACAACTGGTGTTGTTTGATGTAGAATGATATCGGTTAGGTTGAGTTGAGGAGATAGTAAAACCAGTATCAGAGAAATCTAAAGACAGATTCTTTTAGCCAACAAAGTATAATTAAAATTCCTGTTAAGTGCCTGATTTCTGACTAGTTAAGAAGGTAGCTTTCTCCCAGAATAAATTTAGGCCATGTTTTAAGGCTGAGTACAAATCACACATTTTTGAATTTGAAAAATACAAGAAGAAAATATCATCCACCATCCGACCAGTTAAAAATACCTAGTCCAAGTAAGAAAAGTTGCCTGTCCTTCTGCCCTTTCTGATCCTTATGCCGACCTCTGAGGTAGCGGCACCTTTAAAATCACTGATAGTGCTTATCTGGAAAAATGTCCACAACATAGTATTAAATGAAAATATACTACTAGGTATGGGTTTATTACAATTTAGCTTTATTTATTTATTTACTAATTTTTTGAGACAGGGTCTCAAGCTGTCGCCCTGGTTAGAGAGCTTTGGCATCACTGCTCATAGCAACCTCAAACTCTTGGGCTTAAGCGATTCTGTTGCTTCAGTCTCCCAAGTAGCTGGGACTACAGGTGTCCACCACAAAGCCCGGCTATTTTTTTGTTGCAATTGTCATTGTTTCAGCTGGCCTGGGCCGGGTTCAAACCCACCAGCGTGGGTGTATGTGGCCGGTGCTCTACTCACTGAGCTACAGGGGCCTCCCAGTTTAGTTTTAAAGAAAGAAAGAGAAAGAACATGTATAGATTTATATGAATTAGGAAAAAGCGAGAAAGGCTAGGCATTAAATTAGTAACTATTACCTAGGTCTCGTATTGGGTGCATAGATATTTATAATTGTTATAACTATAAATACTATGCTGAATTGACCTCTTTACTGGTAGTTATACAGTGACCCGTCTTGCCTTTTTTTATAGTCTTTGATTGTAATCTGTTTCATCTGATTTAAGTATAGCTACTCCTGTTATTTTTTGTCTCCATTTGCATGGAATATCTTTTTCCATCCTCTTGTTTTTAGTCTATGTGTCTTTATGGGAGAACTGGGGTTTTGAAGGTATCTTGTTTCTGTATCAGCTTTTTTTGAGACAGAGTCTCACTTTATTGCCCCTGGTGGAGTGCTCCGGCATCACAGGTCACAGCAACCTCCAACTCTGGGGTTTAGGATTCTCTTGCCTCAGCCTCCTAAGTAGCTAGGACTACAGGCGCCTGCCACAACGCCCAACTATTTTTTGTTGTTGTTGTTGTTCTTGTAGTTGTCTTTGTTGTTTGGCTGGCCCGGGGCTGGGTTCAAACCCTCCATCCTGGGTTTATGTGACCAGCACCCTACCCACTGAGCTACAGGCCCTGCCCCCACCCTCTGCCTTTTAATTGGAAAATTGAGACCATTTACGTTGACTGTTGTTATTGATATGTAAGGACTTACTACTGGAATCTTGTTGTTTATTTTCTGGTTGTTTTGAGACTTCTCTCTTCCTTTACTTTGTGGTTAAGTGATTAAGTCTAGTAGTATGTTTTAATTTGTTGCTTTTTATTTTTAGTGAATATTATAGGTTTTTGTCTGCCATTACTATAAAGCTTACAGAAAACATCTTACAGATAGAAGTTATTTTAAAGAGATGACAACTTATCTTAGATCACAAATAAAAAGAAAACAACAAAGACAAAATAAACCCAGAAAACTTACATGTTAACTCCATCCCCCATGTTTGACTTCAAGTTGTCTGAATTTACATACTCTTATATTACTGTTTCTTATCAGATTGCTGTAGCTACTATTGTTTTTGGTAGCTGTGTCTTTTGGGCTTCATACTAGAGTAGGTTACACCGTAACAGAACATTTGTTGATGAACTTGATTTTACCAGTGGGTTTTATACCTTGAAAAGTTTACATGTTGTGTCATTTTTCTTTTAAATTGAAGAATCCCCTTCAGCGTTTCTTGCAAGATGGGCCTGGTCATAGTGATGAATTCTCTCAGCTTTTGTGTCTCGAAAGGACTTTCTTTCTCCTTCGTGTTTGCACAACGGTTTTGCTGCAGACAGTATTCTTGGGTGGCACTTTTCCTTTCCTTTGAGCCCTCAGAAAGCATCAGTTCGCTCCCTCCTGGCCTGTGCGGTTTCTGCTGAGCAGTCTGTTGCCCGACAAATTGGAGCTCCGCTACGTTGTTTGCTTTTTATCTCTCACTGCTTTTATGATCTTCTTTTTGCCCTTGACCTTGGAGAGTTTGATTATTATGGCCTTTGGGTTAGTATTATTTGGGTTGAATCTGTTTGGGTTTTGAAGCACTTCCTGTACCTGGATATTTTTATCTTTCTCAAAGTGGAAGGTTTTCCATTAATCGTTCTTGGAATAAGCTTTTACCCTTTGCTCTTGTTCCCTTCCCTTCTGAGCACCAGTAATTCTCAGATTTGATCTTTCCAATTAATTTCTGTACGTTGTAAGCAGTCCTTGTTCCTTTTTGTTCTTTTTTCTCCTTTGATTGTATTTCCATATAGCCAGTCTTTGAGCTCACGGCCTGATTCGTTCTTCTGTTGAGATCCTCTGAAAAGTCCTTCACTTTAGCAACTGTATTTCCCAGCTCCAACATTTACATTTGATTTTTAAAATTTTTTTCAATGTATGTTACCTTTCTCTGATAAATTTGTGAATTGCTTTTCTGTGTCATCTTGATGATCACTTGAATTCTTGGTCAGAGAGCTCACACAGAGCCATCTTGTTAGAGTCAGTCACTGGGTTTTTGCTTGTCCTTTGGGAGAGGCCAGAGTTCCCCATCTGCTGTCGTTTCTTGTGGATGATCATCTGTGTCTTTCCACTGAAGAATTAGTTATTTACTCCCATTTTCTCTGTCTGGCCTGTTTGGTTTTTATTGAATGTATTTGCTAGGCAGGTCTTCACGGCGAGGACGCTGCTGCTTCTCCAGCTCTCGGTGGTGCCTTGAGCTCAGGTTTGCCTCATCTCTAGTAAGGGGTCAGAGTACCACCTTTCTCAAGGGGGCGAGGTCCATAGGGGCCATCTGGCAGTTTGGGAAGTACCTGACGAGGTGTTCCTGCCCAGGGAGCTTGGGGTATGTATGTCCTGCAGCCTGGGCTTAAGATCGTAGTCCCATCTACCTCCCCTTAGTCTCTGCCTGCCCTTGGGGCCATTTCTCACTTTGGACCTTCAGGTTATTTGCCTGGGAATTCAAGCAGTGGGGAAGCAGGCTGACCACTCTCATTTCAATTTTTCCAGTGTAAAAGTTGAGCTTTGGGGCAATTTTCCACACCCTTGGTGGCAGCAGAATTCATGGAAGGGGTCTTGGGGATGTGTGAGTTACCCTCTAATCAAAGTTCTCCCACCTTTCTGTGTGGCCTGGGAACCATCTCGTCCTCATACTTGAGCTGCGGGTGGTTGCTGGTGTGGACTTGGGTGCTGCATGTTTGTGTCTGGTTTTCTGCTGGGGACGGTGACACCAGCTTGGTTCTGCACTACTGTTTTTGAGCCAGAAGTTACGGAACAGGCTTTCATTTTTATTGAGAGTTTCTTTTGCTATACAGAAGTTTCAAAATTTTATATAATTATATTTTTCCTTAATAGCTTAAAAGTTTTTAACTTGATTAGGGAATGTTCCCTTACCTCACAGTTATAAAAATACATTTTTTCTTTTTATAAATTTGTACTTTCAGTTTTTAAACTTAGCTCCTGAATTCATTTAGATTATTTTAATATCTTGTGTAAGATAGGGATTCGGTTTCAGTTTCTTCTAAATAGGTAAGCGATTGTTGTAAGATCCTCTACTGAATAATTCCTCTTTTTCCTATTTATATTTATTGGCTTTATCATACATTAAAATCCTATGTGTGTATGAATTTGTTTCTGAACTTCTGTTCTAGTCATTCATTCTTTGGTTCATTTGTATATTATTGCTGTAGTGTTTTATTATTATTATTATTTGAGACGGAGTCTTTCTATGTCATCCTCAGTAGAGTGCTGTGGCGTCACAACTCACAGCAACCTCCAACTCCTGGGCTTAAGTGATTCTCTTGGCTCAGCCCCCAAGGAGCTGGGACTACAGGCGCCCGCCACAATGCCCAGCTATTTTTTGGTTGTACTTGTTATTGTTGTCTGGCTGGCCTGGGCCAGGTTCAAACCCCCCACCCTGGGTGTATATTGCTGACACCCTACCTACTGAGCTACGGGCGCCACCTGTAATGTTTTAATTATTGGTAGTGCTGGTTCTATCAAGTATCATTGTTCTCTAAAAGTTTTTTGGATTGACTTATAGTTTTACCCTTCTGAATATAGTCAGCCTGTCAGGTTCCCCTGCAGACAATTCCACTGATGTCATGTTTAGAATTGCATTAAATTTACAGGTCAGAGTGTAGAGAATTGACATTTTTACAGCACTGGTCTTTTCCTTCAGGAGGATAGTATCTCCCTATTTATTGGGGCTTCTTTTATGTATTTTAGCAAAGTTTTGTAATTTTCTGCAAATAAGCTTTCTGTGTTATTGGCTTAAATGCATATTTTACTCCCTCCCCAATTGTTCTCTCTTTCTACAAATAGGAGTGTTAGAACCGTTTTATCTAGTTCTCTAAAGAAGTTTTATTGACATATTCTGATTTAAATTAATGTTAAATTCCTATAATAGTTTGGGTTGACATCATCATATCAATCTTCATGAGTTGGTCTAGTCTTTCTTTCATGACTTGATCAAATCACTGTTTAAACGTTTCTCTGATATATGAAAAGGGATTTGCTTAATTGTTATGGGGAAAAAAATTCTTTCAGTTTTATTTCTAACCGTCACTGTCTTTTCCCAGGCCGTCTCAGCGCTGGTGCAACCCTTAGGAGTGTGTGCAGAGTACCTGAATTCCTCAGTGGTGCAGGTAGGTTGATCTGCTTCACGCTCCTGCAGAAGTGGTCCAGGACATGCAGACAGCAATGTTTTTCCTTTTATCAGGCTGTTCAGAGTTGTGCTTAATCCAGAGTCATTTCTTTTTTTATATTAATTGTCCTTTTAATAAAAATTATTATTAGCAGATAAATGTTTAGTAATTTGAAGTATAGGAAACCTGTAACATTTTAGAAGGTTATTAACCTTTTCAAAGGATCATTATATCAAGTACAATTTTTATTAATTTTCTTTTCCTTGTCTATAAAGTAGACAGCAAATATCTCTATTTACTTCATAGGGTTGCGTAAGGGTTCAAGTCTTGAGCACTTGGTAGCCTGACTTACTAGCGCACTCCCTCACTTTGGAGTAACAGCTTAACAGATCGTCTGATTTCCTGCCTCTGCAGGATTGTAAGGAGCAGGTCATGGAGCAGTCAAAGGCCTGTGGCTTCAGTCTGCTCAGGCGAGCAGCCTGTTATACCATCTTGTTTCCATTTCAATTAGTAAGTTTTACTGAACAAAAATGTCATTTTTTTCTTCATAAATAAGTCTGTGAGACCTGAGACTTTTACAGAGCTTTTTAAAAATCTCCATAAATGCTTTGAAAGCAGCATCTTTCTTCGGCACAGTTTTTATGTGTACTGTTCCTTCTTTCCATGGTTAAATTTACTTAGGGCCGTTTTAATAAGGGAGACAATATATTTTTTAGTAGGTCATGGAGATGTCTTATTTTCAGTTGTTAAATGCTTTCTTTTAGTGTCAAGGCAATACTGCCAGAAAATGGATGGCTGTTGACATATTTCTTCATTTTGTATATTAAACTTTCCAGAAACAACTAGTGTTCGTTTAGTTTAATGAGCATATAAATAAAACTGTTAATTTCGTGGCTGAAATACCACAGATACAAAGAAGCTAAATGATTTAACTTTGATATTTGTTAATAGTTTAGTAACTGCCATTTTCATAATCAGGGTCAGGGATTTTATTTATTTATTTATTCATTTATTTATTTATTTATGGTAATGCCATGTCTGAACTATTTTCCACCCTCCAGGTTAAAGGCTCAGGGATTTTATTTATTTATTATTTTTTTGTTTTTCAAGACAAGAGTCTCACCATGTTGCCCTTGGTAGAGTGTCGTGGAGTCACAGTTCACAGCAACCTCAAACTCTTGGGCTTAAGCCATTCTCTTGCCTCAGCCTCCCAAGTAGCCCATTACAGGCGCCTGCCACAACGCCCAGCTAGTTTTTTGGTTACAGTTGGCATTGTTTAGCAGACCCAGGCCAGACTCAGACCCTCCAGCCTCAGTGCATGTAGTCAGTGCCATACTCACCACACTGCAGGCGCCAAAGGTTCAGTGATTTTAAATGCACACTCCGTACACATGTATTGCTCAGGCGCAGAAATGCAGCATAAATATTCTAGCTGCTAATTAACGATAAGGTCTTTAGAAATTTCAGATTTTCTGTATGTAAGCAGAGTGTACTCTAAAGCGAGTAATAAGTTTATAATTTCCAACCAAAGCATATATAACTTTATTTTAATTATATCAAACTACAAGTGTATTCATGGTGGTGTGCACCTGTAGTCCCAGCTACTTGGAGGCTGAGGCAGGAGGATTGCTTGAACCCTGGAGTTTGACTGCTGTGAGCTAGGCTGAGGCCAAGGCACTCTAGCCTGGGAAACAGTGAGACTCTTGTCTCAAAAAAAGATTATATCAAACTATCTGAATTTAAATTCATTTAACAATAAATTCAAAGTCTGATACATGTTACCTGATATAATAATTGTTTTCACCACTGGCTACCTCTGTGACTCTGGAAGGCTTATTTAGCTTCTGTCCTCAGTTTCCTAGTCTGTAGAAAGATCATAATAAAGATACCTAGCTCACAGAGTTGCAATGAGGATTATGAGAATACTGTGATTTGCCTCTTAATGTAGCAGCCCTGCTCAGTCCTTACTGTGCAAATGTTGTGAGTGTAAATGAAGAAATTCTACTGGGACGATTTCCTGATGTCTTTTTAACTCTTTCCTAATGTATTCTTGGCTTTGACTGTCAAATACTGTTTTCTTTTTTTATCATCCTCAAAGTTCTAAAAATTACCCCACTTAGATGGAAATAGTTACTTTGACAATAGCTAATGTTTAACCCCTTCTCACATACTTTTTATAGTTAGTTACCTGATTTTGTTACCATTCTGGAATAGCATTTTGCGTGAGTCTTATCTTAGGCCTCAGTGATATCAGCATAGTCTCTGCTTGTGTTCATATTTAAAATCGTATGCGAAATACTTTGTTACAAAAATGCTACTCCTGCTTAATGTTTTAAAAGTTAGTCTGTCTTTCTTGAGTTGCTCTCAAAAATTACCCTTACAACATGGTAATGACAGTGATTCCAGCCATATTTTATTAAAGCACCTGAAACACAGAGTAGGTTAAGGTTTACATGGCAGCATTAGCTAGTTAGCGTTGGCTCTGATGATAGTTCCACTGTACCCTCTTCTTTATGTTTGTAAATGAAGACATATCTCTTCTCTACTTTGGGGATAGATTCAGGAATTCTTATTAAATATATCATTTTATTTCTGCAGCCCATGCTAGACCCAGTCATTCTTACTACCATCCAGGATGTGCGGAGCGTGGAAGAGAAGGACCTCAAAGACAAGGTAATGATGCTGTCCAGCGAGGCAGGCCCTAGCGCCACTTAGTCCATGGAAGCAGAGCCTGGACTTGGCAAGGTCAACATACCAGTGCTGTTTGGATTCTGGTCACGAACACTTCACATCAAATTAACTTTACATTTCCTAATCAAAAAGTGCTATTTCTGAACCTCCAGTGGTTGTGCTAACTCAGGCAGTCCCCTGAATATAGTGTTCTCAGTAAGGGATGCCATTCAGAATTTTACTAATAACATGATTCTGATGGCATCACAATTGGTATGGAACTGAAGAAGCTTTAAAATAATACAGTATTAAAACTTACCCACAGTTATTAAAAGCAATTTTAGCATTTAAACATTTAACATGATTTGTTTTTTCTGCCTTGAATTTCTCACAGGATCAGCCCCTTTCCTTTGCTACTCACCCATGTGCTTTTATTTAAAAGTGAAATGGGCTCGGCGCCTGTGGCTCATAAGGCGCCAGCCACATACACCTAAGGTAGCGGGTTCGAATCCAGCCCTGGCCCACCAAACAACAATGACAGCTGCAACCAAAAAATAGCCAGACATTGTGGCGTGCACCTGTGGTCCCAGTTACTTGGGAGGCTGAGGCAGGTGACTCGCTTGAGCCCGGGAGTTGGAGGTTGCTGTGAGCTGTGATGCCACAGCACTCTACCCAGGGGGACAGCTTGAGGCTCTGTCTCAAAAAAAAAAAAGTGAAATGTCTGAGTTAATTGGCTGTGTAGACTGTCAGATATAGACTGTCAGATAGATACTACAGACCGTGGCTGCCCTGTGTTCCTGTGTGTGTTGTAAGAATGGGATAAAAATATTTTTACAGTTCTTTTCTTTCTTTCTTTTGTTGTTGTTGTTGTTGTTGTTGTTGCTGTTGTTTCTATTAAATAAAAGAGGTTGGTTAGCATCCCCGAGCTCTTGTCTGCCATCAAGCTACTCTGCATGCGCTTCCAGCCGGATCTGGTGACGGTTGTGGACGACCTTCGACTAGACATTCTCCTGCGCATGCTCAAGTCCCCACATTTTAGTGCTAAGATGAATTCCCTCAAAGAAGTAAGTTTTGCATTTGTTTCTATAAGACTTAAGCACAGACACTAAGTTCTACCAAAATAAACATAAAAATGTTGAGAAATAAGAATTTCTTATCGTAGAACAAGAGGTAAACATATAAAAGTGTGTCTTTGTAATTATTAGTAAAGCCACCTTCTTATATGCATTATTTTCGAAATTTATTCTCTGAAATCCTTCAAATAGTGCTTTTATGAAATTTCCTAGAATGTAATCCCTGAGAACATTTAGGTTTGCTTTTTCCTCTAAGGGTACAGTTTCTTTTATTTTATTTCAGATATGGGTTTACTTAAACCAAGTAAATCTAACTGGGATTGGGACAAAAACAAAATGACTACAGTTGTGTTGGTGGAAGCAAAGTGACGGAAACAAACTGTAGCCTCTGAAGTTGGTAGTGTATGCGCAGAGTCAGCAGTGTTGGTTAGGGACAAATGGAGCCAGCACAATCGTAACCATTCCAGTTATTTTTTTCTTGAGTTTTATAATAGGATTCTTGAATACAAGTGAAATAAACTCATCTTAAACCACGTTAGGCCAAAGGAGTAACTTATCAGAAGATTCTGGGCTATTATACATGAATGAAGGATTGACTAGCTAAACTAAGAAAGGACAACGATTGCTGTAGGCAGAAGGAACAATTGGGATTTGAGACCTGATCACTGCCAGGACTCTGTCCAAGTCTTGTCTCTGCTTTTCTGAGAATGTTGGCCTTACTCTCTGTACCTGCAGTCTGGCCTCTTTCCTAGGGGAGAGAGCGTGGCCATGCCCAGTGCCTAAAGTTCCCATCCCACGGTAGCATTCACCAGAGAGGGACTGATTCTTTCTTTCTTAAGATAAAGTGTCTTTCTGACACTTTCTTTCTCTGTACTTTCCAGGCATAAAATTTGGAGGAAGTGTCCTGATTGAGGTTTGGGTTAGCTGTTCATCCCTGAGACCAGGCACAATACTGTGATCCTATAAAGGAAATTATTGAACTCCTGGGCAGTGGCCACCAGCGGTCTGGGGGTGGGAGCTGTGGAAATGGCTCAGCGTCCTTTTTAAAGAGACATCTCAAGTAGAGTATGTTAGCTTCTGTAACTGGCCTCTGATCTATCCTGGCTAATTATTGAACCGCTTTGTGACACTACAAAAATTAGAGATTATATTTAAAGATTTTGATAATGTGTATTCGATACAGTCATGATAATCTTGTCTTTGCAGGTAACCAAACTAATAGAAGATAGCACTTTATCCAAGTCTGTGAAGAACGCCATAGACACAGACAGATTGTTAGACTGGCTGGTTGAGAACTCAGTTCTGTCAGTAGCACTGGAAGGTAAGCTGCTCTCAGAAAATTCAAAATTACCTAATCATAATTTAAATAGTTTTTTTATTGTAGCTTTGACTGTATCAACCTTTAAATAATGTTATAGCACGTTACTGATGTTTTGAATTAATAGAACTGTATTTAGAGAGCTGTGCTCACTGGCTCTGGCTTCCTCTCTGCTGTTTCTTCTATTAGGTAACATAGACCAAGCGCAATACTGTGATCGTATAAAGGGAATCATTGAACTCTTGGGCAGTAAATTGTCTTTAGATGAGCTCACTAAAATTTGGAAGATACAGGTAAGTTGATCAGAATTATTTTTGCCTTTTCCTGACATCTTTAGACTGTAAGAGAAGGAGGAAGGTGGTGAGTGGCCAGGGAAGTGGGACCTTTCTGTATGCTGTCCAGGTTACCTAGAAAGACAGCTGTATCTCATCCACTTTATAGTTTAGGGCTTTTATTAAGATTGCATATGTAAAAAGGATCCCACTATCCATAAGAGGTTTCAAAGTACTGAACTAGTCTAGTCCTATTTTTTTTTATTTACAAATGAAAAGCTTTCTCTGGAGGTTTCACAGCAGTTAGTGGCAGAGCTGGGAGTGGGCGTATGTCTTCTGTCTGTCAGTCCAGCGTTCTTTTCATTATGTTGGTTGTTAATTCATTAACAGTTTTTCCCCATTTAATCCTATTAAACAAAGGCGAGAGGTGAGTTTGTAGATCTCGTCTTCCCAGGTCTCCCAGCAGGGCGACAGAGCCCCCACGCTTCCCCTTCTCCTGCTCGCCTTTGCTCTGGTCGTGGTGTGTTCTGCTGGTTTTCCTCCTGCTTTTCTGGGGCTCCTTGACTCTCCTTTACTAACTTACTCTCTTCAACTTTGCCTTTAAATATTCGTTTTTTCAAGCCTTAGTCCTTAGTACCTCTTTTTACTATATGAACTTTTCTTGTGTCAGTTTTATCCGCTCCTTTGGCTTCGACTGCACTTGTGTACAGCTGACTGAGTTAGGTCTCTAGTTCAGACCTCTTCTTGGCGCTCCAGGGGGTATACCCAAGTACGTACCTATTACACCCTGATGTTGGTAGCTCACTGGCATCACACATTTATTACACCCACACTAGTTGTTCTCCAGTCCGTTTTGTTAGTGGTATTATCCTTCGTCTAGTTGCTAAACCAGAGAAGAAGTTGGAGCTCGCCTTGACCGTGTGCACTTAGTCACTGTGGTTGGGATCCAGTCAGGACGCAGAAACTGTGCTTGGCGTTTCAGAGGGGAGTGGCCCCAGCGGGTGAGCAAGAAAAAAGGGAAAAGATGCAGAAAGAGCAAAAGAGAACGAGGCTGAGTCCCAGGCAAGGATGCTTGGGGAGGTGCTTTTACTGCCAACACTGGTGCTGTCACCACTGAGGCTTCTGGAATAATCCCCTGTGCCGCTTCTGCTCTCTGAACCCCAGACAGAAACACACCTTCCTTCCCTCTGTCCCTTGTTCCTGTCATTGGCAGAGCTTTGCAGGAAGATAGCGGGCAGAGAAGTTTGGGGAATGTAATCTTCAGGCTCCCAGCCCAGCATTACAGATCAGACGGTAGAAAGTTCAGTGCAGGAGAAAAATAGTCCCGGTCCTGTAGATTTTACTTCACATGCCTTGGCCTTGGTAGAATGTCATCATTTCATTTTGCTTTGTGAGTGTAAGTTTTGAGTTCACATAAGGTTGAAGCTTTGAGACTAGGATGTGTATGCCTGCTATAATCAGGGAACAGCTCTAAGTGCACAGTAGATACTGAGAAAATTCTTAAAGCATTTAATCTAGAAACATCCGTCACCCAGTCTCTCACATGGTGACCATCAGGGCATGATGGTGGCATGAGTGAGGTTGTTGAGTTTCAACTAAAAGGTCAACAGGTCTGTAGCTCTGAACTGCCTGTGGGGTAAATAAATGTTAGTTGAAGTCACACAATATCTATGAGCAAAATAAAAAATGAGACAGATAATAAGGTCAGCAGAGGCCCTCGGGATTATTTATGAAATGCTGAAAGTGAGTGCCCTTGTCTCATAATTTAATTAGTTTGAATTTTTTAGCTTGTTGAAAATATTTTGTTCTCCTGTTGAAGTGAATATTGAGAGCTTGATTCTCATTTTTTTTATGTTGTCCTTTAAAGCATTTGTGCTGCTAGGAATTTAAATGAGGCCAGTGATAACCATTAATACTGGTTCCTTCACACAGACTTGTCAGTATTACCGTGCAAGTGAATGCTTTTTAGACTAGAATCAGCTTACCTGACACCCTGTTATATCTCTGCGTTTGCCGCTATAAATTGCCAGGGAGAAACTTTAGGTTTTACCAAGTTTCAAGACTCAACATTTTTCCAATGTTGCCTTTTGTAGTCTGGACAATCATCTACAGTGATTGAGAACATTCATACGATTATTGCTGCAGCAGCTGTGAAATTTAATTCAGATCAGCTCAATCATTTGTTTGTTCTCATTCAGAAGGTATGTCTTTTAAGTTTTTCTATAATAAGCTAAGCTCTTTGAGGCCTTCCCCAAATGGCACTGTTTAAGTGTGCTTTTCTTAGTTTATTACATTTTGTTTTAGCTTTAATATAAGTTGTTGCATATTTTGCCAGTTTGATTGTGAAGCAGTTCTCGTGTCTCATCTCTTCCCTCTACAGAGCTGGGAGACTGAGAACGACAGAGTAAGGCAGAAGCTGTTGAGCCTGATTGGACGAATAGGACGGGAAGCTCGCTTTGAGACCACTTCCGGAAAGGCAGGAGAATCACATGGGTTTTTTCAAAGCGGTTTTGTTTGCGTCCTGGCTAGCTCATCATATGTGCTGTTGTCGTAGGTCTTAGACGTCCTCTGGGAACTGGCTCATCTTCCAACGCTGCCCAGCAGCCTCATCCAGCAAGCCCTGGAGGAGCACCTGACGATCCTCAGTGATGCCTACGCCGTGAAGGAGGCTGTCAAGAGGAGCTACATCATCAAGTGCATCGAAGACATCAAAAGGGTCGGTTTGTCTGTGGTCTGGGTTCATTGTTAGAGCAGCAGTACTGCCTGCACAATTAGAGCCTAGTCGGTTTCCTCCGTTCCTATCTGGAAGCTCTTACCTTAGAGTCCAAGGTTGGGAAGTTATAGGTATTGCTTTTACCAAATCACTTATATTTCTCTTCACATGAATTTTCAGCCTGGGGAATGGTCAAGTTTGGAAAAAAACAAGAAGGATGGATTCAAGGTAAGAATTTGCAGATGGAACCAGCTAAAAACTATACTAACTTAAGGATTTCGCTTAATACATTGCATCACAATTTAAAAATAACAGGTTTTAGTGTTTCTTAGGGTAATGTTCCTGTCCATATTTGACATTTTTAAATATTCATTTATATTCTATGCTTTATTATTCAGAGGTTGGGTAGTTACTCTTATGGGGGAAAAATTCAGGGTTACACTGAAAAAGTAGTTTTATTATATAATTTTCATGAAATTGTAAGATTTTCAACTTAAGTTTTTTAAATTAAATCTAAAATATGCACAATTTTAAAAAGTACAAGAGAGCCTAAATAAATGTTGTGCCTATTTTTCTCCCATGAGGGAGAAAGGAGGAATTTTTATAGCATAAAAAGAGGATTGGGGCAAGAGGGTTGCATTTGGTGCCGGCACGTGATAGCTTTTCAGATTCTTTGTTCAGATGTGCTCCTTAAGGAACTCCCACCGCAGGCGTTGAGAGAGCACCTGTTGCTGGGACTCAGTTTATTAATAAGAAGGCAGGCTTTAGTAGCGACTGCAAGAGGGACCTGGCCTGGAGAAGCCCTACCCTTCAGGACTCTCATGGTGAACTTACAGTCTGTCCTTGGAGTGGTGGAAGCAGATTAAGCAGTAATGGTTATAGCTGTCCTGTCACTCTGGTACTTACACCTCAAGTCTCTTCTGAGAGGGGTGGTCCCAGTGGCCAGCTCAGCGCAAATCCTTCTGTTCTTGTGGTAGCCTTGATCGGAGCAGAGCTGTCTTCTCACTTAGGCCTTTAGGTTGCCCCAACTCAACTTAAAGTCTTACAGTGGGAGGAATTTTCTTTTCCTGGATTTCATTTTAGTAGTAACATAAAAAAAGGTTTTGGTAAAATAGCTAGTGTCTTAGTAATTTCACTGATGAGACATAAGCTTTACTTTTGTTAAGTATTTCCTTAAAGGTTCTTTAAAGTAAAATACTGCTGACTCATTTTCATTGGTCTGTTCAGAGACTCTCAGCTCTTATTAAGAGGTTTGGTAACTTAAGTTACATTTGGTTATAAAGTTTAGTTGAGGGCATTTAAGAATTTTATTTCATATTTCTGATGCTGAAATTTGATAAAGTCAATTTTCCACATACAATCTAGCTTCAGAGATTTTTAAAAGGCATTCACAAACTGAAGTTGGTAATGCTCAGGTTTTGAAGAATTATTTCTTTAACTCAACAAAATTTTTACTCAGATGCGATTTGAATTTTTCTAGTTTTCTCACATCTGCGATTCAGATAATTTAGCAACCTCTCTTCATTGAACTTCATCCAGAGTTACTGAAGACGTTTACGTCCTTCACCAGGATTAGGAAGAGGGAAAGGGTAGCTGCAGAAAAACGTTCTTTTCTTCTCAGCCGTAGACACATTTCTTTGTAGATGAGAAGGTCCCAGCCGGAGAGACTTCTCCCCTCTCCGGGAATATGGCTCCTTTCTGAGGTCCGCCCTTCCTTGCCACAGCCAGGCGTCCCTCGGCTCCTGCAGTCAGCTGTGCCCCTGCATCCTGTGGCCTCTCCTTGCAGCCACTTCATTCGGGCTGGGTGGTTTCGTAACAAAATTCACAAAGTCACAGGACAATTTTTGGAGTTACTTTGTGAGACTCGAAAGGAATATACTTCCTTTTTAATTTCCCCACTGCTCCCAGTAAAGAAATTCTGCTACCCCGTGATTTCACTTCAGACAGCATTTTTCCATGGCACTTCTCAGTTTCCTGAGTGCGTTCATGGGCACTCTCCTAGAAGTGCACGTTGCTGAAGGGGGGCAGTGGGAAGAGTGAAGCCCCCTGGATATGGCTCCGGCAGGGGGGATCATTTACTGCCACTAAAGGTGTTTTTCTATGCTATGCCCTTTCCTGCCAGGCAGCAAGGTGGGCTGACTGGGGATTATGTCTCCCTGCCAGGCTACACAGAAACTAAGAAAGGGTAAGACCAGCTCACCCGCCTCTCACTCCCCTCCCGCCCTCAGCTACCTCTTTCCCAACTGATTTCCCTTCCCTCTGCTTTTGACACTCTTAAAATTCCCAAGTTCCACTGTTGCGTTCAGAAGTTCTGGCCTTTGTTTCTTAACTTTGTTTCTGTAGATTCTGCTGGGCCCCCTCAGCTCCCGGGAGCCTCTCCCTTTGCTTCCCCCGTCCCTTCCACTGTCCCCCTAGCCCCTTCCCTCTTACTTCACTTTTTTCCTTCAATTAAAAAGTTTAAATGTACTTGCCCCCAAAATAGTACTTGCCTATTACGAAGCCAAAAAAACACTCAGTTTTACTCAATTAGTAATATCTGCATATCGCCTGCGTCCTTATCTTCAGGCTCCTAGCACAGTGCCTGGCAGACTTCCAGTCAATATCCTCCCCTCCTCCCCTCTCCCCCGCCCCCCCACCCTGTGTGGAACTTCTGCGGAAGCCTCACTTGCCCGTAGTTGACTAGTTACTGCCTCTACTTGCCAAAACATGGAACAAAGTAAAGGTAGCAAGAAGTCCTCCATAGTGAAATGGCCAGTGCAGAAGGAAATACTTAGAAAGTTTTTCCTCCCATACAAAATTTGTGCTTTAGTTCTAGGTAAATGGCTAGGTCTGGAGAAGCAAGGCAGAGAAAGAAGTGGAGATACTCAGCTTTGAGAAGCGAGATCTCAAAAAAAGAATACAAAAGCTTTCTTCAGACACTGAGGGGAGGGTCAGAAAGAAGTTTGGTGCAGCTCGTCCATATCCTAAGCAGCTGTGCAGAGGCCCGTTTCCGTGTCACTGACTGTGTGAGGACAGTCAGGAGCAGAACACACGGCCTTCTGAGTGGGGAGCTCGCGTCACCAGAAGGACAAAAAATGAATAAAGAGAATGGAGGCATAAATTTGCAGCCTAAACAGTCAACCTGTCCAGCTTCATTTCACTTCAGAGCCTAATTGGGATATCCCATAACCTCAACGCCATGACACTATCAGATCCCTTCATCTTAATGGTTTACCACTCTCTTGCCCTTTTGTAATTGGAAAGAATAATGTGAAATTTTCTTTTAACTTGCAACATAAAGCCATAGACAATATAGAATAAATAACATCTTTCTTATTGGCTCAACTGTAGAAAGGCTATAATTATAATCCCAAATTTCAATTTTATGATTTTTCTTTCCATTTTATTATATAATAAGTTACCTCTAAGTGGTAATTTTCAATGCCAAATTAAAATATTCAAACCATAATTGACTTAATTGGTTATAATGGTAACATTTTAAATATATCTGCTCATTGCTGAAGGGTTCCTATTTGCGTTCTGATTTTTGTGATCCTTTTGGGAAGTATCAGCTTTGATGTCAGCCTTACAGTTTGGGGTATTACCAGTTTGTATCCATTACCGTGTAGCAGAAATCCTTCACCTAATCTCACAAGTAGTTGGTTGGCCTTAAATATATACCTTATTTCTGTGATTCTAAGATGCTTTACAGATTTAATAAGTTTGCAGAGAAGAAACAAATAGTATGTTTCGCTTTTACCAACTATTGGTTTAGATCCACGGTCAGAGGTTGAGCCCGAGCCTCCTTTTGACCAGTTCCATGCAGCTTCACCATGGCACCTGCCTGCGTTATCTCTAGAAGTGCTCTGGATGTCTCTGAAATTTTTAAGATTGGCTGTGTCATTTTGAGGCATGTTGAAGAATATGGAGTTTTGTGTGCTTGTCCTCTTTTGTAAAACGCAAGTTGCTTTTTTCCGTAATTGAGTTGTATATGCTACAAGTTAGACAGCGTCTCTTGAATTAAGGTATAACTTAGGACAGAGAGGCATTTAGTGTGGAGAGATAATGCCCTTCACAGTTTCCCACTGACAGTTTTCTTTGCCTTTAATTGCACTGATGGACGTGACCGGCTAGTGAATGCTGCGTCATAGTGTACTCTTTTTGGTAACATTTAAGTAAGGTATCAGAGATCCAAATTTAAATTAATAGGTTGTTCTTATTTGCTCTATGTACCAAGTGACAACTAAAATGAAAGGTAGATGAACCCCTCCCTTTCGTATACCCCTAAGTTAGTACCTACTCTGGTAAGGACAGCTGTGTCAACTGACTCCTATGGCTCATGGCTGGTGAGTTTCTTTTGACATAATTGTAAGAAACATCAATTTTACAAATGTTAAAATTTATAAAACTTGTGTCTTAGAATCCAGGAAATATGGTATTTGCTGATTCATTGACTAATCTCTAAGAGGCAAAGAAACAGTAATGTTTTTCACATTTGCATATCCAGTCATGAGATCTTTTTCTACAAAAGACATCAAAAGTAGTTTTCCTTCCCACGGGTCTTCATCTGACAGTGAGACCCAGTGCAACAAGCAGGCTTTGCCTTCACATTAAGTACTGAACACTTTTGGTTAAGGATTTAATAATTGATTAATTGGTTAATAATTTTAAATCTGACATTCTTACCAGATTTTATCTTTATATTTTATAGTTAGAAAGATGCTATTTATTAAAAAGCAGTTATTTTTTAAAGGGTATTACATGAACATCAGACTGTTTAGAGCCATACTATGAAGCCCTGGATTGTCATGTCAGTTTCAGAAATAATATATTTGTTTTGAAAAATGTAGAGTATAAGTATAAAGTGCCTGTAATAACAGAAGCCGAATTACCTCTTATGAAATTGTTTTAACTAGGAAATCCCAAGAGAGAATGAATATTTTCTTATAAATTTAGATCAGTGATGTGATCATATCATTGGTATCTTAATCACATGATTCTAGAAAGCATCTTCTATTCCATTTTACTTACCAGCCAGTTCAGTATCATTTAAGTTTAGCTTTGCCATCAATTTATGTTTTATGCCAACATGTCTTAGCAGCCTGTGCTACTTAATCTCTCCTCTGAAGTTGCTAATTCCCTGTTGTCTGTTTTTGCTGATATACCCTCACACGTTACTGTCACTTCACATCCACTCTGTAGTTCTTGGCCTTAGGAAATTGCATGCGGAGTAAGAAGCTGGAGACTGAGTTACGAGTGCATGGGATAAGCTCTAGATGGGAGATACGAGGAGAAAATAGTAGGATGTGTAACAATAAAGCCTAACGGACTTGGAAATGTTGATAGCTAATAAATGAATCTGCCATTTATTTCTAAATCTAATTAATGTGACTTCTTTTGCACTCTAGTCATCCCAGCTTAATAATCCCCAGTTTGTCTGGGTAGTGCCAGCTTTGCGTCAGCTCCATGAGATCACTCGCTCATTCATCAAACAAACCTATCAAAAGCAAGACAAGGTAACAACAATGATGATTGTGTGATTACTAAAATAGCCTTTTATGATATCAAAAGATGGCGAAAATTATTGAGTTTGTAATCACTATTTTACATCTTTATGGCTGTTAAAGTAATTCATTTATATCATTTAGTAGTCTTAAGTTTAAACATCATTCTGCTTTTATTTTTGTGGAACTAGAATTTGTTGAAATAAGGCAGTTCTTAAAAGTTAGCATAGTATTCCCAAAGTTGGTTTGAAAAAAATTGAGTAGCTTATTTTGCTTTGCAAAAACTGTAGTTCACTTAGGGAGCTAGCCTTCCTCAGTGTAATAGATTCAGGAAGAAAGATCTGGAAAAGTGTACAAGAAGTGCAATCGTTCTTTTTAAAAGACTTTCTTTTTTTTTTTTTGTAGAAATGGAACCTTTTTTAGATGCACAAAATTAGTGGAGAAGTTAATCAAATCTTTTCTAGTAAATGTGATGTTACTAGATGTTACTTACTTTTATGTAGAAAATATGAATGAGGAAATCCTTATGTTTGCTCTCTCTCACCTGGAACTACCTCCTAAAATAGCAGCTTATGTTTAACCAGAAAAATAATTGCAAATTCTCACACCACTTTTCTTTTTGTTATTTTTGCCAAGAGCATTATTCAAGACTTGAAGAAAAATTTTGAAATTGTGAAATTGGTAACAGGAAGTTTGATAGCTTGTCATCGACTTGCAGCCGCTGTGGCTGGGCCTGGAGGCCTAACTGGCTTGACCTTGGTGGACGGACGATACACTTACCGGGAGGTATCAGGCTCTGTGCTCTTGCGTTGTGGTGTGCAGTGGCCATTTGCCCTTTTTATACTTGCTATAAAAATAGCGTTTGTTGGGAATAACTATAAACAGATAGTGGGACGTATCTTTATAATGATGGAACAATTCTGTTATCTTGACTATACTTATTTTAAAATAAAATTAAGAAAAATTATTTATGGATTAATCTTTCGTGTGATAAAAGAAAAACATTAATTTTGGTCCTTGATCTAACATAATAATTGTTAATTTTTTGGATACTGGATTTTTAAAAATCAATTAATTAGTAATATTGTTTTTAAAAAAACTTAGGAAAAAAAGTCATTTTCCAGTTGTGAGTTTGTGCTACTTCACTTTGAAGTTGCTGAAATTGTATTTTATGTTGACGTCTAAAGTTAACTGAACTTGTAATAGAGTTGGGGTAGCTTCTATTCTGTCGTACTGTCGACTCGTAAACACATTTCTCACATCTACTTTAGCCTAACTTTTAGGAAAAAGCATTAAATAAAACTTTGATGTTCACGTTTTTGTTTGTTTTAGTGTCGCCTTCCGACACTTTCGCGCTGTCTAACGAGCATCATTTGTTTTGCAGTACTTAGAGGCACATTTAAAATTTCTGGCATTTTTCTTGCAAGAAGCTACTCTGTATCTGGGTTGGAATCGTGCCAAGGAAATATGGGAATGTCTTGTGACTGGCCAGGATGTTTGTGAATTAGATAGAGAGGTAAGACGATGGCATTGTGGATAAAGTAAGCCAGAAATATTTAACTATTTCACTTTTTAATTAAAAAAAAAAATGTGTCTCACCTCTTCACTTCTTAATACTTTTCAGTTTACATAAGCATAAATAGTATGGGCTGACAACTGTATGCGCTGAAAAAACGGGTTTTGCCGTGGCGTCACAGCTCACAGCAACCTCCAGCTTCTGGGCTTAGGTGATTGTCTTGCCTCAGCCTCCTAAGTAGCTGGGACTACAGGCACCTGCCACAACGCCTGGCTATTTTTTGTTGCAGTTTAGCCGGGGACAGGTTTGAACCTGTCACCCTGGGTATATGGGGCCAGCACCCTACCCACTGAGCCACAGGCACCACCCAAATAAATGTTTTATACAATATATATTCATGGTAAAAATGTATGAGTTCTTTGATAATTTTGATATGGTTTTGGATGAAATACCAAATTCAACTGAGAACAGATTAAAATTTTTTTCCCTTACATTAAATTAATTTTAAGTTACCAACAGAGAAATCTGAGTTCCTATAATGATGTTTTTCCCTAGAAACACCAAAGGGTTAGTGCCTGGAAAGATTTTTTAAAACTGTGACTAAATAGCCAGAAATATATTAAACCAGGAATAAAACACATACTTGGACATTTTTTAACAATGAAACTGATTTTTGTCAACTCATTTTGCAGAATGATATTAACTGTTTCATAGGATTGTTGAAAGGACTGAGTGTATGATAGTGCCTGGCACAGGACCTGGCACATGACAAGATAAATGTCGATGTTAAAAACCCAAGTATAAAATCCAATGAAAAGTATGAGTTTATATTTTCATTATCTAGGGGAAAGATTGCTGAATGCTTCATTTAAAAGTTCTAAGCATTTTGGGCAGCGCCTGTGGCTCAGTGGGTAGGATGCCAGCCCTATATACTGAGGATGGCAGGTCAAACCCAGCGGCCCCAGCCACATTGCAACAAAAAAAATAGCCAGGCATTGTGGCGGGCGTCTGTAGTCCCAGCTACTCGGGAGGCTGAGACAAGAGAATCGCCTAAACCTAGGAGTTGGAGGTTACTGTGAGCTGTGTGATGCCACAGCACTCTACCAAGGGTGACATAGTGAAACTCTGTCTCTGCAAAAAAAAAGGTTCTAAGCATTTCATTTTTGAATGATATTTTGGCAACATGAATTGTTAAAGTATTATAATAATTTATATCTACTTTCTCAATTTGAAATGCGTAGTTGCAGGGAGGCACCTGTGGCTCAAGGAGTAGGGCACTGGCCCCATATATCAGAGGTGGTGGGTTCAAACCTGGCCCCAGCCAAAAACTGCAAAAAAAAAAAGAAAGAAATATGTAGTTGCCTGAATTGGATCTTAGTTACAGGGTAAATGTTTGTCTCTAATCTACAGATGTGTTTTGAATGGTTTACAAAAGGGCAGCATGATCTTGAGAGTGACGTTCAGCAGCAGCTCTTCAAGGAGAAAATTCTTAAATTGGAATCATATGAAATCACTATGAATGGTGAGAAAAAACTTAAATCATTCTTTTCCTCAGTACTTTTAAGCAAGGAATTTTTCTCTTTCCTTTCCCTGTACAATCCAGCTTCTCAGAAGCAACTAAACAGTTTGGAATAGTCTTCTAGAATTTTTTTTATGCCCCAAAAGACATACTTAGGTAGATATATAAAAATTCCTGTTTATATAAATGGTATCTTATAATTAATTTTTAACTTATATAGCCCAGTAGATCAAATTGCCAAAATGTCTTTTGAAATTCTATAGCACTAAGTTTTTTTTTTTAGAGTTTTGCTTTATCATCTGGGCTATAGTGCCATGGCATCAGCCTAGCTCACAACAACCTCAAACTCTTGGGCTGAAGCAATCCTCCTGCCTCAGCCTCCCAAGTAGCTGGTACTGTAGGTGCCCACTACAACACCCAGCTAATCTTTCTATTTTTGTTAGGGACAGGGTCTTGCTCTTGCTCAGTCTGGCCTTGAACTCTTGAGCTCAAGAAATCTCCCACCTTGGCCTCCCAGAGTGCTAGGTGTGGTACACCATCAAAGGGAAGGAGAAATGAGAATTAAGGAACACTCTGTGGCTGTAAGGAACACCTGTAACAGCTCAGTAACATAACACCTTGGTGATAAGGGCATGGGGAAGGGATTCCACTTTCCTTAACACAAAACAAGAACATTAGTGCTTGGCAGTCTACACCTGTGGTGCAAATGGCCGTGGGATCACGTGTATAAGTAGCTGCTGGACAGGTTAGTCGGGATTCTCATTTTCACGGACTCACTCACTTTGACTCTCACTCCTGCTCGGAGGGTGTCTGCCTGGCACCTTCTGTGAAGACTAGTAAGACTGCTTCTCTCTCTCCCTCTCCTGCTAAGACAGTAGCTCTCAGGCACCTAAGGGGAGTTATTCCCGAGCAAGGTAGCTCAGTGATCCATGAGCTACAGTTTCATAAGCTGTGGCCAGAAACCTGGCCAGTCCTGGGCCCCCACGAAGGTGGGATAGTGAACATGCATGACAACTAGGATTACAGGTGTGAGCCACCGAGCCCTGCCTTTAATTCAGTTATTTTATTGAGATATTCACATACCATAAAATTCACTTTTTTGAAGTATGTAATCAGTGACTTCGTATATTCACAAAGTTGTGTAATCCGCACTGCTTTCTAACCCAGAACATTTTTGTCAGTCTGAAAAGAAACCTTGTAGCCATTAATAGTCACTTTCCATTCTCCCCTTCCCTAGGCTTTTAGCCTACTCTGGACATTTGATAGAAGTGGAATCAAACAGCATGTCTTCTTTTGTTTCCGGCTCGTTTTATTATGCTAAGGCATGTTTTCAGGGATCCCCAGGTGACAGTTCGTGTCAATGCTTCATTCCAGCTTACGGCTGTATGATATTCTACCCTGTGGATTACTGTATTTTGTTTATCATTTGTCAGCTGGTGAACATCTGGGTGGCTAACACTTTGGAGCTGGTAAAAATAATGTCACTGTAAACAGTGTATACAAGCTTTTGTGATTATGAGCTTTCATTTCTCCTGGATGTACATCACGAGTCAGAGTGCCGTGACATGTAATTTGAGGAATTGTTGGGCACAGTGGCTGCACGTTTTGTAATCCCTGCAGCAGTTTATAAGGGTTCCAGTTTTTCCACATCCTCACCAGTACTTGTTATTACGAGCCTTTTTTTCCTTCCAGACACTGTAGTGGGTATGAAGTGGTATCTTCTGGTTTTGATTTTGAACACCTCTTCCTTCATGTGTACTCATAGGCTGTTTGTGTATATTCTTTAGAGAAATGTCTGTTCAGATCTCTTGCTAAATTGGGTTGTCTTTTAACTGAGGAGTTCTTTGTGTATTGTGGATACTAGTTCCTTATCAGATGCATGACTTGTGAGTATTTTCTGCCATTCTGTGGGTTGTATTTTCTTTTTCTTTCTTTCTTTCTTTTGTTTTTTTGAGACACAGTCTCACTATGTTACCCTTGGTACAGGGCATGGCATCATAGCTCACAGCAACCTCTCTTGGACTTAAGCAATTCTCTTGCCTTAGCCTCCCAAGTACCTGGGCCTATAGGTGCCCACCACAGTGCCGGGCTATTTTTCTGTTGCAGTTTTCATTATTGCTTAGCTGGCCTGGGCTGGGTTGAACCCACGAGCATCTGTGGCTAACACCGTAACCACTGTGCTGTAGGTGCCGAGCCATGTGGGTTGTATTTTCACTTTTTTAGTAGTGTCCTTTGAAGCACAAAGGTTTTTAATTTTGAGTAAGTCCAGTTTACCTATTTTTTCTTTTGTTGCTTGTGCCTCTGGTACCTCATCTAAGAAACCATTGCCAAGAGTCTTAGGTGTTAGCTCTTGATAAACTTTGTATCTTTTCATTGATTATCTTTGTTATTAGAATATTTGAATTTACTTGATATTCTCTAATTCCAGGTTTTAACTTATTTAAGACTTTTTTTGAAAATGTGAATCTCTGTGATCATCGATTAAAAAGACAAGGAGCTCAGTTGGTAAGTACATTATTTTCAAATTCACCAAAAAGGAGGGATTACAATTGAGGCAAAACATGGACTTTTTTAAAGAATGAGACCTGCTTGACTCCCAGCTTCTGCATTCATGACAGAGCTGTCCTCAGAGTGTAACGGGGGCTCCCTCACCACACTGCCACTCCTCACCAGCTGCTGGGGGACACAGCTCACTCTCAGACCTCGCTCTTTGCTTCATGCTAGTCCGCGATAGCCAGGGGCCTCCTGTGGCTAGGCGGCTGCAGCGTGGGGACAGTTCATCCAAGCTCTGAACCTCTCAGATCTACCACTTCACATGTACCTAAAAAAAAATAAACACAGTATTCAATCTTGGGATAACAATGGCAGTGATTTGAGGAGAAAAATTAGGAATAGATCATGAAACAGGAAAATGAGAATCTACAAAAATGTATACATCTTGTGTTGTATTTGTACATGCCCCTGAGAAAGAAAAGGCAAAAGCCAGCTCTTTCTCTACTCCCTTCATTCAGGACCTGGCTTCCTGGAGGGGTAAGAATTTTTACAAGATCTAGTGAGTCCTAGATCCTGCTGTTTCTCACTGAACTTTGTGAAGACTAGATTGAGACCCAAGAATTAGGAATCACTTCTCACTTGAGTCCGTCGCCTTTTATTTTGGGGCCCACCTTACTCCTGTTTCTGCTTCAGTAGCCTGTCTGGGTCTGTGTCCAGCTTGGGCTCTGGGTTGTATGGAGGAAAATCTCCACACCTATTCTGGTTCCCATGGAGGTTACCCAGCGCTTCTGTGGTTGTTGATTTTCATTTTAAAATTCCATATCAGTGCAATAATGATCTTATATGTAGCTAAGTTTTTGCAGCTTTAAGTCATATTAAACTGAAGAGGTGTGGACTCAAGATTACAGAAAGTAATTGACTATAATTTTGTGATCCTATGTGATAACATGATTTAATTTTTATAAATTTAATTTTTTTTCGTTTGAACAGTATGTAGAAAAGCTGGAATTGATAGGCATGGATTTCATCTGGAAAATAGCCATGGAATCACCTGATGAAGAAATTGCCAATGAAGCTATTCAGTTAATCATAAACTATAGTTACATTAATCTAAATCCTCGGTTGAAGAAGGTGAGCATCTCAGGAAAGATTTCTCATACACAGAACAGGAGAAAATTAGGTGTTTTTCAGTGATAAGCTATGATCCGCGGCATGCCCCCAAATTGTCATCTTTATTTTGGTATTTTGTCCTGAAGAGTGGTCATAGCTGAGTGTCAAAGATGTATTTTCATTTCCATGTGCTTTTGCTTTCAGGATTCAGTGTCTCTGCATAAGAAATTCATTGCTGATTGCTATACAAGATTAGAAGTGAGTAGCAGATTTTATTTAACCTGTCTTTGAAATAAATGCCTCCGTTTTTTCCTCTTACACTTTTATAATTTTACGTAATATATTATGGTGATGCTTGTGACTGGATCTTATTGAAGAATTTGTCAACAGTGCCATGTTGTGTCCTGGGAAGCAGATATTTACCATGATGTTCCCAGTACAGAAGTATAATTTATAGGAAATTTTTCTTTCACCCTCCTTCCATCCCTTTTCTTTTCTTTCTTCTTCTTCTTTTTTTTTTTTTGTAGGTTTTGGCTAGGGCTGGGTTTGAACCCGCCGCCACCTTTGGCACATGGGGCCGGCGCCCTACTCCTTTGAGCCACAGACGCCTCCCTTCCTTTTTCTTTTCTTTTCTTTTCTTTTCTTCTTCTCTTCTCTTCTCTTCTCTTCTCTTTTCTCCTCTTCTTCTTTCTTCTCTTCGCTTTCTTTCCTTCTCTTCCTTTCTTTCCTTTTTGTTTCGACAGGGTCTTCCTCATCACCCAAGCTAAAGTGCCATGGCATCATCATCGCTCACAGCAGTCTCAGACTCCTAGGCTCAAGTGGTCCTCCTGCCTCGGTTCCCAAGTAGCCGGGGCTACAGGCATGTGCTGCAGTGGCTGGCTAATTTTTCTATTTTTAGTAGAAATGGGTCTTGCTCTTGCTAAGGCTGGTCTTGAACTCCAGAGGTTCACTCCTGTAATCCTAGTACTCTGGGAGATTAAAGTAGGAGGATTGCTTGAGACCAGTAGTTTGAGACCAGTCTGAGCAAAAGCAAGACCCTGTCTCTATAAAAAATAGAAAAATCAGCTGGATGTGATAGTACATGCCTATATTCCCAGCTACTCAAGAGGCTGACGTGGGATCACTTTAGCCCAGGGGTCTGAGGCTGCAGTGAGCTAGGCTGACGCTATAGCACGCTTGCCTTGGCAATAAAGTAAGACCTTATCTCAGAAGAAAAAAAAGTACTCTTAAAATACAAAATGCCACTGCCCCCATATGTGAACAAATTAAGGTTTCTGGTGATAAATATACACTAGAATCTGGATAGTATTTCCTTAATTGTGACTTCCATCCAAATATGTCACCATAAAAAATATTTAAGTACCCCTGTGGGAGGTTCCATGTCAGTATTCACATGCCTAGAGCAGTAGTTCTCAGCCAGGCTTATTGTACGTCCCGGGGGTCATTTGGTAATGCCTGAGAGCTGCTTGGTTGTTTCAGCTAGAGGAATCCTTCTGGCACTTAGTGGGTAGATGCCAGGAACCCTGCCAGGCATCCTACACTGTCCCCTGCAGCCCTCTACCACATGGTCACCCAACTCAGAATGCAGTGTCCCCTGCAGCACTCTACCACATGGTCACCAGCTCAGAATGCAGTGTCTCCTGCAGCCCTCTACCACATGGTCACCCAGCTCAGAATGCAGTGTCCCCTGCAGCCCTCTACCACATGGTCACCCAGCTCAGAATGCAGTGTCCC